ATATTGTCACTGACTATTTTGGTGATTATAATTAATATGCGTGAAGTTTATTCAATAGGTTAATTGTTACACGGCTGTGGCTAATAGGAATCTAGCTAGTGAAGGTAAGTTTAGATTTGAGAGCTCGTGTTGTTTTCATAGACCTTCTCTCTCTCTCTTTGGCTTGCTTGACTTCTAAGCTATAGGGTCGGTCCTTCAACTCAAGGTGTTGAAGCTTCACAAAATTGAAAAGATAAAGATTCGTCGACAACTTTGGAACTACTTTTGCCAGTTTCTTTGAAATAAGGCTCAAAGGCTTGCATCACTTTGAATTCATAAGCAATCTTGAAATGTTTAAAAATCAGTAATCAAAAAGGAACCTTCAAGGTGTATGTATGTAAAGATGATAAATGATAATGATAATAAAAGAATTCTAACACACATAATGCAGGAGTTTTATTAATATTAATAATATTAATGTAGCAAGGATCCCTCGCAATGTTATTACATTACTTTTCAAAAGATCAGTGACATAAGTTATATCTTTTAACAACCCATTTGAGGTTGTAATTCAACCAAAAATCAACAATATATACTTTGGAATCAATGAATGCATTAATAATCTATTTAAGCAGACGTTTTTCTTGTTCAATTTAAAATAAAAAACCTACTCTAGTCGTAAAACCTTATATATATGAAGAAAGTAAACATGGCAGTTCTATTAAATATGAAAAAACAATTTATCTATTAAAGTTGTGATTGCTCATCAATAGTTCCAAAATGAGAAGTGTTGGCTGAATTGCATGAATTCTTTCAAGTTTTTCCCAAACCAGATCAAGGCATGTTTTTAATGACCCCAGATTATAGCAATGGGTAATGGATCAACAAACCTTAAAGAAAGAAAAGAAAGAACCTGATCCAATAAAAGAACTGTAAAACACTCAATCACATGAACAAAGTGGAAACACAAAATTCATTCAAAAAACTTGTATAAATTTTCTAGTTGACAATATAATTTAGGCACATGAGCTTTTTTATTTAAAGTTATTTATAAATATAAATATTTAAATCTAAAGATAAGTTTGAAAATAAATAAAATAATTACAATAGATCTAGCACATCTAAATCAATCTGTTGAGAATCTAAAAAAAATTTCATCACAAGAATGAACATTAATATAATTTGTTAATAATAAACTTAAATTATTAATAAACAAATAAAATAAAATATTAGTAATTACCATTATTATTAATAATTGTTACTTTATTAGAATTCACAAGTTGAGGAAGATCTGTAAAATTTAATAATCTGCTAGTATAAACTGCATTTGGATGAATTGTTGCAGTAATTGTTAATGGATGAAATTTTATTACATCCATTTTGTCAAATTCCTTTCTAATTGATTTAAATTCATCAATCCTTTTTTTTGATCCATAATTTTCAAAATTATCTATTACCTGATCATCAAATGAACTGTACCACATTTCAATAATCACATGAATTTCATTAGCAGTTGGACGTTTACTTGGATCAGCATCCATGCATCTGTAAGCCAGTTCAATGTAGAATTTTGGAGTGTTGTTTGAAAATCCAGGTCTTATACCCTCACATATTTTCATTGCAAGGCTTATATCATGTGCTAGATTGCTGAATGGTTGTTGGCCAGTTGATATTACTGACATCAGAACTCCAAAACTATACATGTCTGATGCCATTGTATATGGTTTCTCTCTTAAAACTTCTGGTGCAACATATGATAGTACTCCAAATATATTGTTTTTGTTTGATGATGATGATATTTGACTAACTGGACATGATAATCCTAAGTCTGTAATAAATGCTAGATTGCTTTCTTGAAGTAAAAAAACCACCGCCTTGTGTGAAAGTATTCATACCTGATTATCAAAAGCATATAAAATATTTAATATTTACATCTGGCTTGTAAAGTTCAAGTTTATATCCAACAAATTTTGATTGGTTTGACATTTAGATTTTACCAAAAAAATATAATATATTTGATAATCTGACCAAATTTACTTGAGAAAATTCAGCTATTAGAATTAAACACAAGACACATTCGTTAATATCTTCAATGTTTTAAGATATTGGGACAACGATAACCAAGAAAGTTAAAACTTGACGCCGATTGACACTCGAGATATCAAAATAACCTGTTGCAAAATCAGATAACATCAATACTAATGCAAGTAATAAACAAATAATTGGTAATTATTTTAATTATTTTAGGTTTTATTTGTTATACGATAACAAACTATGTATATATAAAATATAAATATTTAAAACAATATATAAATATAACTAAAACGATGATAATAAGTTTAAAAAAGTATTATTATTATAAATGTTCACATGCACAGCACGATCTATAATAAATAAAAATGAGAATGTGTTTGATATATATACATACACGCACAAAAGAAAATATTCACATACCATTAATACTGACTCCCCATACCCAGCTTTATCAGGTCAAAAATCATACCCTCAAATGCCACACATGACGGGCATACATCATAGTCACATTGTTGACATCTTAGGCGTTTCCCTTCATAAAACTTTTGACATTCATCACATTTCCATGGTCCATAAGATGATGCATATCGCATAGAATGACTTCTATCACATTTTTTAACAGGTACACATCGAGCATTGGGCTTGCAGTGGCTAGGGCAAGCATCAAAACTGCAAGTTCTGCAATAATATTTAGATTTCTGCGAGGAAAATATAAAATTGGTGTCAAAAGAGGATTGAAATTTTTGTAATTCAATGAAATAAAACAAGTATAAATCATCTACCAATGTTGTTCCATTTTTTCCACATACGTCACAAAACCATTGACGTATACCTGATTCTTTTAATTCATGTCCCGCAAAACATAGAGGCAAGGGATCTTGTAATGTTAATGTCATGGATGCAGATACATCTATCAGCAAAGTATAATCGATGGCAACGTCACTAAGTTCTCTGCGTTGTTGAACTTCGGCCCACGTAGCAGAAACATTACTGACAGATAATTGCTTAATCGAAAGAACATTGGAGGTGGTGATTTCCATTGCAATGGTTAGGAATGCAAATTCAAGCAGGTAAAAATCTTTGACAGGAATATAAGTAAATTTTCCAGAACTTGCAATCTAATTCAGTAAGAAGACATGAAGAGATAATGTTCAGTGAGGAGGTTCGCTGTGCTCTCTTTTTTTTTTAAAAAAAAATATTAATGTGCTTTTTGTTTCGTAAGAACAAAATGTGACAGTGTTGGCATTTCGCTATTTTGGAGATGGCAATGTCAATTTCTTTCTTAATAATAAACCTTTGGCTATGGCACAAAAATAATGTCAATGGCAGCATTTCCATTAAAAATTTCGAAATCCTTTAATAAGTATTGAATGGCTTTACCTTTTCCATTTCTTCTCCATTTACACCATCTCCAACCCCGAGGACAAATAAAAAGTTATTGTCCACATTGGTGAATTTACTATAGATATCTTTGCTGCACTGATTAGCAGTCCTCCTGCTGCGGGTATCTTCTCCATCAGTCACGACAATCATGATCCAAGGACGAGAAGCGTCGGCTTTTCGACGGAAGGTATCTGTTGCCACGTCGATCATACTGTCGTAGAGGCGAGTTCCATCAGTAGCGACATCTTCTAAGCTATTGAGAGAACGGTGCAGCAGTGTTTCACTAGTAGTAAAGCTCTTCAAAGAAGACGCACATTAAATAGAAAGTCAATAAAATAGCGCAATGATGATTAAACAAAATCTCATAATATTGATGAAAATAAACAGCACTTCACCTGTCTAATCACTAAAGAATCATTAAATGTCGCGATGCACCCACGATCTAACCCATCACGATGCAAATTTGTTATGAGCTCGTTGCTAGCCTTAATAGCACGACTAATTCTGGTATCCATTTTTTTTTTGTTATAGTTATTGTTTCAAAAAATACTGAAACAGACCCAGAGACCTTCTTTATACAAATTAAAAGAAATATCGTGCGATTAAAAATCGTTAAAATATTTAGATAAACAATGTACAGTTTCCCTTTTATATATATATAATATAAGTTAGCCTTTATTAAATTTCCTTTATTTATAAAATTGATTATTTTTGTGATTATTATTATTGATTTTGTTCAACAAATGCGTTCATTTTCTGTTTTTTTTTTCAATTCCAAGGACAAACAAGACTGGAATCAATCTAAAAATAATCAATCAATAAAAGGGATGTGTGTGTGTTTTGATCATTTATCATTAAGAGTAGAATTTATATTTCAACGATGATCATTATTATTTAGAGAATGTGTTCATTTGTAGAAATCAATCACACACAAACAATAATGATTACTGGTGCAAACGTTTCATATTCCTAGTGGAACTTTATAAATATTACACTGTTCAGAATGTTAGGAATACAGCACAAAAAAATAGCGTGTCACTTTATAACATTTGTATTGCATTATAAAATTTGTTTTTTTAATACTTTGAAAGTCTTCATTAAAATATTATGTTTTACACTTGATTAAAAGTAATTATCAATTATTTCTCGCTTTGAGAATTTTCCCTAACCTTGATCTTCCGCAATCTGCTTTTCAAATATATAAATGTATATTTGCTTGCAATATATGAAAATCAGAAAGAAAATCCTGAATGTATTTTACTTAGATATAGGCATGAAATGGTTGAGTGTCTTTTCCGTATCGTTTCTATTATATAATGAATTAGAAGAAGTTCAAGTTTGATAATCCTTCCGCGTAATCGATCAGATAATCGATATGTTGTACGTTTACTATTATTTGCGAGGTTTATAAGAATTCAAACGGAACTTGATTTTCCCAGATAACATTAATATTTAATATATTGCATAATAGGCTATTATTGATTGAGTCATTGATTCTCCAGGAAAAACAATCCGAGATTTTTCCAGAGTGGCATCATCTAATTTTAGTTTGATTAAATGCTCCTTATAAAATTTTAAATTTTTTTTAATACAAGTTGTTTGAATGTTGTTGTTGAAAGTATATATAAGTTTGTCATTAAATCTAAAAATTTTCAGTCTCTATGAATAATATATAAAATACCCATGTTTGTTAAGAAAGTAAATCAGTCTTTCTCATTTAAAAAGCAATGAATATGATTTCATCTATCTACAGAAATAATGGAGGTGGCAAACGTTGCATATCTCTACAATTTAAATTCGTTTGAAGGTTTTATCAATTAATTAATAAAATACTATTTCCAGTTTTGTAAAGCTAATTCACTTTTTTTTTTTGAAAAATTTTGACTTAAAAATTTTGACATGAAATTTTTTAATAATTATTCTAACACAAAAACATATGAATAATAATAATTAGAATTTTACCATTGGTGAAATCAGCTGAAGAACAAAGAAACTAGTTAATCAAAATTATTCAGAGGGTGAAAAACAGTATTGCTCATTATGAACCAATTCTAATCAATAGATTTATTATCTTAGCCCATTTAAAGTCCATTGGTTTGGTATTCAAGGTGAAGAAATAAAGGAACAAATTAACTATGCTCTTGATGAAGATGAAAAGGTCAAAATGGCATACTTGGTATGATTTTTATGGAGTCAAGGAATTGAATAAAGGTAAAAAGAATTTAAAGGTTACTTGTGATAATGTTGATGAACAAAATAAAAATAATTTGATTTTATTATGAAAGTATTGAGTTAAATTTCATAATCTCTGAACTTGTTAAAAAAACTCTACTGAAAAACAAGTGTAGATTATGTGGATGTTGTACAGCTGGATTGAATACAACTCAATCTTATAAGCAGAAATACTTAGATATCAAGTCTACTTTAAGAAACTACCAGACACACAGAAACTTCAAACATTTTCTTTTTGTAGCATCTAATCCTGGTGTTGTCAAAACTCAGGAGATTGCTAATTGACCTTTTGCTGAATTCAATTTATTAAAATTGGAAAACAGATATTTCTGAAGAAATTAAAGCTTTATTTATTTGGCACATCATCCCCTTCCCTGGATTACAAGAGACAAGAATACCTTTATAATAATATTCGCCCATTTGTAAAGGATAAATTTAAGGATATCACTTGTCTAAAACCAGCACAAAGTGTTGACAATTTAGATGCTAATAATGATTATGAAAAGATTATGTTTGTGACAATAAGAAGTTTAACATACAAGTTGTTGTTATCGAAGATAATAATTTGAGGAAGGGATCCTGAAAAAGTGGTAATACAGAAAACATGTAATGTATGAACCTCTATGTATGTAACGTATGAATTTATTTCCATACATGTATGAAAAATGCAGATCATACATACATACATTTTTATTAAATTAACTAGCAAACGTCACCCAATTATTATTATATACACTCACTGGTCATAAATATAAGGACACTTGCAGATCATTGGAAATAATTGAACAAAGAAACATGAAAAAAAATAAAAATTTTATTAACCTAATTGCATTTGCATATTAAGTAAAAATTCATTGCCATATCAAATAGTATAGTATACTGAAGTTTCGCTGCATATAAACAACAACTCGTTGTTTTACAAACTTTAAAAAATAAAAATGAATTTTTTGGAATTTTCAAAAAAATCTTTAACTCGAAAATTGACCACAATGTCAAGTTCTAACGACCTTTGCGATATAAGTGAAAAATGCGTCTTATGTTTGAATCTAGTTATATCCAAAATTCTAAATCATTTGGTAAAATAATTAATGAGAAAAAAAATAAAATGTAGAAAATTTTACAAAACAATTCAACCTCAAACTGCTCACCAATTTGAAACATAAAAGACATCAAAAAATATATGAAACTGTTTTAAATTGATTGTATTTTATTAAAAAAAAATCAATATCTTGTCGGGTTTCCTTTATTTTTTAAAACAGCATCCACTCTTTGTGGCATACTATCTATTAATCTACGTATTAATTCTCACTGGAATAGTATTAAACCATTCCTCTTTTAATAAATTGAATAGTTCTATTTTATTTTTTGGTTTTGGGTTTCTCATTCTAAGTCTTCTTTTTAAATCCTGCCATAAATTTTCAATAGGATTGAGGTCTGGACTTTGAGCAGGCCAAGGGAGAAGTATAACACAATTTTCCTCTTTCCATTGATTTGCCACAGCTGCTTTATGACATGGTAAATAATAGCAATAATAATAACAATAGTAGTAATAATAATAATACCGGCAAGCTTAGTATCATCTGAAAAGGTTTTTCATCAATTGGGATTTATCAAGTTCTTAGCTGGCTAAGGTTTTTCTATTGGCTAACATCACTATCTGGAACACCTTGTGAATATACATGCAGCCCAAAGTATTTTGACACTGTCATAAAGGGGGTTACACATGTAGTAAAGGGTGTTACACTTATGTTTTTAATAGTGAATGCTGTAATTAATTTCTACTTTCTACCATCAAAATTGGAATAATTTTGACCATCAAAATCACCAAACCAATTTGGCTGCATGTATACTTGTGAATATAAACTGGAAAAAATTTTGTGAAAAATCGAATTTTGCACCAGAAACCCCAAGTTATACAACAGGACTGAAATTAATATCTCTAAATTGCCAAGGAACAGTGATAAAAAATTCCTTTATATTCTAATAAAAAAATGAACAAAGGTATTTTTTTTCATACACAGAAAAATAACTATTTTAAAAATATAAAAGGGTTTTATTTAATATCACTTTATAATAAAATAATTAGCTGAATTCTATAAAGGTAAATAAATATTTCACAAAATAAAATTTATTATGGTGTCATCTTACTAAATAAATTTATTTTATTCTTAGGGAGTAAGCATTATATTATAATTAAGTTTTACAATACTAAATAAAACATCATTTAATTAAATATATATTTTTTTTTTTATAATAACCAGAAGGTAAGTATTATATTATAAATTAACTTTTACAACACAAAATAACTTTATTAAAACATCATTTTAATTAAATAATTTATTTTTTATTTCTTTATAATAACCAGTTTGTAAGTATTATATTATAAATTAACTTTTACAACACAAAATAAACTTTATTTAAACATCATCTAATTAAATAATTTTATTTTTTATCTTTATCCCTTAAATTGGCTATCGTACAAATTTGTACGATTAAATTTTTTTATATAAAAAAATTTTTCTGATCATCACG